GGCCCCCCCCGCACCACTTCCGGCACCGCCGCCCGGCCGGTCCGCTCGCTCCTGCCGTCCCCCCGGCTCCGCCCGGCCGCGCGCCCGCGTTCCGGCGCGGCCATGCTGGCGGACGGGCCGGTGCGGCGGCTGCTGCGGGCGGGGGGGGGGGCCAGGTTAAACTCAGTAATGCTTTTTTGGACAAAGCTCTGTCAAACTGCTGACTCTTCACATTCAAGTTGTCTGCATTCCTGTATCGTGGCAGACACCTCCTAATTTCTTTTCCAGAAGATCTGGTAGCGCTTTAACCTCAGCCATCTCCTGAAGAAAATGCAGCTCACCAGAGGAAGAGAGTGCTGGGCTGGGAGCCAGTTGGGTCTCTACTCCTTCACTGAATTTAGTAAATCAGAGTAATTTCGCAGCTGTTTCATGGTTTTTTCCATAGGAGAAGTGTTCTGCTGCTTTTGGGGCCAGGGATCCGAGGGGAGGGGGCGGCTGTCACCGGAGGGGGTCGAGATGGAGCGGGAAGAGGCTCGGAATGAGCCGGGAGGGGGCCGGGTGTGAGGGGAGGGCTGGCGGGGGGGCTCGGCTTGGTCGGGGCGAGCCCTCGGCCGAGCGCTTCCTTTCTTCCCTCGCCTTCTTCATTTCCCTTTTCCTTTTTTTTTCTCCCTTCCCTTTCTCCCTTCCCTTCTCCCCTGCCCTTTTCCTGCTCCATTTCCCCTCTCCCATATCCCCGTTCCCTTAGCGGTTCCCGGGGCAGGCCGGGGCGCTCAGGGCCCGCCGGCTTCCCGCAGCTCCTCACCCTGTTCCCTCTTTTCCGCACCTCCTGACCCTATTCCATTTTTTCCGCCCAGCTCCTGACCCTATTCCCCCAGCTCCTCACCCTATTCCCTCTTTCCCCGCACCTCCTGATCAGGAAGGGAAATGAAATCCAATGGATACTCTTATTCCTGTCTTCCCCCAGCTCCTGACCCTATTCCCGTTTTTCCCTCAGCTCCTGACGCTATTCCCCCAGCTCCTCACCCTATTCCCTCTTTCCCCGCACCTCCTGATCCTATTCCCTCTTTTCCCCCAGCTCCTGACTTTATTCCCTATTCCCCGCACCTCCTGACCCTTTTCCCGTTTCCCCCGCAGCTCCTCACCCTGTTCCCTCTTTCCCGTAGCTCCTGACCCTTTTCCCCCAGCTCCTGAGCCTATTCCCATTTTTTCCCCGCATCTCCTGACCCTATTCCCCCTTTCCTCCGCATCTCCTGACCCTGTTCCCTCTTTCCCCGCATCTCCTGACCCTGTTCCCTCTTTCCCCGCATCTCCTGCCCCTATTCCCGTTTTCCCGCAGCTCCTGACGCTGTTCCCGCTTTTCCCGTGCAGGCACCGAGCCATGCGGAGCTGGGGCGTGCTGGGGGGCGCGGCGGCGGCGCTGGCGGCCGGGATTTACGTCCTGTGGGGCCCCATCACCGGCAGGAAACGGCGGCGGAGAGGTACCGGGGCTGCCAGCACCGGGAACCACCCGGCACGGGATTTATCCCGGTTTTTCCAGACGGCTGGGCGGGATTTTGGGATGGAATTATTCGCTGGCACAGCTTCCCTGCGGTTGCTCCATCCCTGGAAGTGCCCAAGGCTGGGTTGGAAGGGGTTTGGAGCAGCCCTGGGATGGTGGAAGGTGGGGTGGGATGAAATCCAAGATTCCTCCCAAACCATTCTGGGGTTCTGTTTTCAGTTTGTGGAGTTTCAGTTGGTTTTTGGTGTTTCACAAGACAAGATTCACTCAAGGAAGTGAAATTTCCTTTCAGGAAGGGAAATGAAATATTGGAGCAGAAAATAAAGACTTATAAACACTCTGGAAAGGAGATGTGATCAAATGAAATGCAATGGGAAAAAAAAAATTGGGAAATTTAGTGACTACAAGAAAATGGTCTGGGAGGAGATGAGGTGCAGTGAAAAGGACCAAAACATGCCAAAAGTAACCTCAGAGATGTTACAAAATCAGGGGAAAAAAATCAAGGAGGAAAACAGAACATTGAGGGGAAGATATGAGTGACATGGCATGGATACTGAAAAAAAAAAATTAAAAATCTGTGCCTAAGTGAAAGCCATCCAAAGGCATGGGGTGCCATGAAGTGCAGGGACATGGACCACAGCTTGCCAAAACTGATCCTCACTGAAGTACTGAAAACAGAAAAGAAGGACTTACAAACACTCTGGAAATGAGATATGATCAAATGAAAATGCGCTTGAAAAAAAAAAAAAATCGGGATGGATACTGAAAAAAAAATCAGTGAAATTGAAATTTTTGAAAGACCAAAATTCAAGTGAAACACCACAACCTGAAAACTGAACTAACTGCAATCCATTTATTTTTTTTTTCTGTAATCACACAGCATTCCTGCTGAAAGCCGGGGTGCTTGCCCTGCGTTTCGTGGTGTAAATTCCTGCAATTCTCTTGGCAGGGCTCGTGCCAGGCCTGCTGAACCTGGGCAACACGTGTTTCATGAACTCCCTGCTGCAGGGCTTGTCCTCGTGCCCCTCGTTCATCCGGTGGCTGGAGGAGTTCACAGCCCAGTACAGCACGGGGCAGGAGCAGCCCCAGCAGCTCTCAGTGACTCTGCTGCAGCTCCTCAGAGGTACTGGCACTTCTCCTGAACCAGGGCTGGAATGCTGAAGGAGAGGTGTTGTCGTTTTTAGACTCTTTTCCCAAAGAAATAAACCCCCACGAGCTCCTGCTCCCTGTTTTATTTGCCTCTATGGTTTTAAGATTAATTGAAATGCCTTGGGCAAAGCTCAGCCACCTTTCACAGGAGGGTTGGATTCCATAGGATTCAGGAAATTTAGAATTCTGTTAAAAATTATTAGCAAATAATTTAAGTTTTTTTGTTTTCCCCAAGCTTACTATTGTCCTAAAAACCTGGGACTATTCAACCTCACTTTGCAAGGTTTTGAGTATTAAAAATTAAATTAAAATTTTATTATAAAAGATAAAATTTAATATAAATATAAAGTATCATTATATAATAACATGCCTTTATATAATAAATTCATATAAGAAATAAATTATATAAATAGGTAAATTAATAAATAATTAAACTATAGAAATACATTTATATGTATTAATTATATGTAATTATTATTTTTATTATACTTATTTATATAATAGATATTATATAACATACAAAATATTATTATAAAATCTAAAGTATTAAATATAAAGTTATATAAATACGATAAGCTATTATATAAATATAAAATATCCTTATAAAAGAAATAATATAATTTTATATATATTTATATAGTAAATAAATTATATAAATAAATAACTAACTATATAAATAAATTTATATAATAAATATTATGTAAAATACCAAATATTACTATAAAATATTTAAGATTTTAAGCTCAAGGTGATTAACTTTTGGCCTAAATTCACCTCTGACACCCTCAAGTGACGCCCTGGCTTCCCTCACAGGATATTTTCAAAGCAGAGTTCTCCCTTGGGACATGCCTGTGCAAGTGCTGTGAGGCTGGTGGTGCTTTCAGCCCATGAACCCCTGGTTTTTAGGCATTTTTGGCTGCTGCTGACGCTGCTGCGTTCCCTTTTGCAGCTCTGTCCTGCCAGGAGGTGCCCGAGGACGACGTGCTGGATGCCAGCTGCCTGCTGGAGGTGCTGAGGATGAACAGGTGGCAGATCTCCTCCTTTGAGGAGCAGGTGAGGGCAGCGAGCTGGATCCTGCTCACAGACTGATGGGGAACTCCCCAGCTTGGGAATGGGGCTGGGGATTCCTCAGGGAACTCCAAACCTTGTCCTTGCCAACAGGGCCGGGAATGTTAAAGCAGAGCAGGTCCCTGATTTCCCTCTGGAATATGGATCTGTTCCCATCTTTTCAGTAATAATTATTTGCAGTTCTTGTCATGATTTCCAATGCACTCCTGATTTCCAAGGATAGATTTTGATTATACTTCCTTCAAAATCCATAAAAACAGGGATCTGGGAATCCATCTGGGGGTATTTTTTCCTCCCAAGTTTTAGTTTTTTATGAGTTTATATGGCCCAGAATGTCTTTAGTACCTTGTGCTGTTAGGATCTTTTGGGCACAACAAAATGTATTCAATATTAACAAATTAATTGTATTCAATATTAACAAATATAATAATAATAGTAATAATAAGAATAATAATAATCATCAATATAAAATCATTATAATATAATAATATAAAATATATCTGTATAAACGTTATATATGATAGTAATTATATATAATTTATAGAATATAATATGTGTATTTAATATATAATTGAATAAATATATTTTAGTTATTTAGAAACTTCATTATTATTTATATTTAGCATGTACTTACATAATTTATATTTATATATGATATAATATACATATATATACATATTTATATATGTATATAATATATGTTTATATAATATATATTACATATAATTGATGTAGATATATGCATATAGATACATTTTAGATGTGCTTAAATATAAAACATAAAACATAAAATATAGATACAAAATAGAAATACACATATAAAATTATACATATATAAATACAAATATCAATCCAGGCTCTGAGCTGTCATTTTTCCTGCATTTCCAGTGGAATTCCAGCCCTCCTGGTGTGTTTTTTTTGATGTCTCTTGCTTCTGACTCCATTTCCAGGATGCCCACGAGCTGTTCCATGTCCTGACCTCTTCCCTGGAGGACGAGCGGGATCGGCAGCCCCGTGTCACCCATCTGTTTGATGTGCATTCCCTGGAGGTGATCCCACTTATTTCCACAGCAGAAATTCCTGCAATCTGCCCAGATTCCCGAGCAGAAATTGTATATTTAGGATATTTTGATTCACTTCCCAAAGCTGTTCTTTAATCCTTTGATAGGGACCCATCAGTAAGTCAAATTTAAAGAATTCTCAGGTTTTCCAAAGAAAATATCTTTGAATTTCCAGTGTTCCTGCTTTCCTTTTCCTGAATCCATGGGATGTAGGGATGTAATTTAGTCCCTCCAAGCATTTACTCTGATCTATAGTTCCCACCTGAAAAAGGGTTGAAAACTGCAAAAAGGATATTTCTGGAAGAGTTTTATGGAGGTAAAATTGATCCTATCCTCCAGCTTGCTGATAAACTTGTTGCAGATGGAAAATACCTGGTTTTGCCTAAAATATAGACAAAAAAAAAAAGGACAAAATATCCTATTTTAGTGTTCTGAGGCAGAGAGTTCTGCAGATTAATTATTCCTTTTACAAGCAATTGTCAATTATAAATTTGTTTTGTACCAGGTTTTTTTTGTTCTTACAAATATAAAGAGCCACATCTTTTCTAATGCCAGAAAAGCCAATTAGGGATGAAATAGGAAAACATTTAATACTTCATGTATTAAATTTCTAAGTGTTTTCTATGTTGCTGAGGTAGGGTTAATGAAATGTTTTTATCTCCCTCTGTAGCAACCAGAAATAATCCAAAAGCAAATAAGCTGCAGAACAAGAGGTAGGATTTTATCCATTCTGGATATTCTGAATATTCATAGGGTAGCTTTGTTTATTAAAGGGATAATATTCATTGATCTTTGTACTGAACTGAAATAGAAATCAAAAATATAAATAAACCTCAATTTATTATTATTAATCACTGAGACAAAAATGTGCTTTGGAGGCATTCATTTTGTTACTGCAGGGCAAATGTGTGGGATTGGGGTGGTGAAAGTGGATGGATGGAAAATCCAAGGACAATGTTTGTGTTGCAGGATCTCTTCCCCCTGTGTCCAACCACTGGAAATCTCAGCACCCTTTCCATGGAAGGCTGACCAGCAACATGGTCTGCAAACACTGTGAGCACCAGGTATGGAAAGAGATAATATTTTATATTGTTATTAATATCTGTGCCATGTGAGGAGGGATTGCCAGCACTCAGAGTGCTTCCTGGAAACACCATCCCTTGGTCATGAACAAGGATTTATCCCTAAATAAACTAAAAAAAACAATCCATGTGATGCACCTTGTGGGGGTAACAGCTGCCTCATCGACCAGAATAATGGATGTTTTATTCTATTAATAAATTAACAATTAATTAATTAATAGTATTACCTGAAAATCCACTCACATGGGTGAGTTTAGCACTCACTGCTCACCCAGCACATTTTGCAAAGGCACTTAAAGTCCAATTATTCCAAATAAGGAGTTGAAGGTAAGCTGAATAATGGAAAAAACACAGAAAATAAACCTCATTTATAGCCCAAACCAAGGAAACATTTGTATTTTATTTCCCCAAACCTTGCAGACAAATTGGAGTGAGGAGGAGGAGGCCAAGTGGAACATTCCTGATGTTCCCTGGCCCAGCTGGGAAACTGAGGGGGTTGGATCCTGTTCCAGCAGGGAATTATGGACAGCACAGGGCACAGGCTCACCTTGGGGAGAGCTGGGTTGGAATTTTTGGGGACTGATGATGCCTTGAAGGCTACCTAGAACAGAGGCCACACAGTGTTAAAGAATAAAGTAGATATTTATTAAAAAGGCCTTCACAGGGTACACCTTGGCAGCACAAGAGCCTGGCCAGGGCTACACCCAAGATGGGCACGAGTTTTCACACTCTGTTATAAGTTTTGGTCCATTTCCATATTGGGGTTAATTGTCCAATTACAGCTTCAGGTTATGCAGTCCCATCATCCCAGTTTGCTCTCCTCAATTTACACTTTTTGGGTCTTTTTGTTGTTTACACTTCTTAAAAGCTGCAGCGGTGTCCTTGGTTCTGGGGCTGGAGAAGAATTGTTTTGTCTGAGTGAACTGTGAGGAGAACTTGCTGACACTTTATGTGAAGCTCAGAGTTACATCCTAATGCAGTGCAGAATGTGGAAAACATGAGAGCTAAAACTGAAGGCATCACTGACACAAATGCTGGCATGTTCTGGAATGTTCTCTTGCAGAGCCCCGTGAGGTTCGACACCTTCGACAGCCTCTCCCTGAGCATTCCAGCAGCTGTGTGGGTACGTATCCCTCTGCTCCTGGTCCTCCCTGCCCTTCCCAGGGCTGCAGAAGACATTCAGAGCTACTTCAGGACTTGATTTTCCTGCTGTTATAATCCTGTGCTGCTGCAGGACCTTCTCCCTTAGGGGTGGTGCGAGGTTCTGATGAGCCCAACAAGCAGAACTTGGTGATGCCACCAGAGTTTTCTGTTTCTCCTGGTGGAGGATTTGGTCTTTTCTGTGGAATTTCAAGAGCCCAGATCATACCCCAAGGGCTGCTTCCCATCCTGGGAAGGTGACCTTCAGCTGGCAGCTCACACCTTACCCCACCTTTTCCAGCTGGGAATTGTTTCCATTTCTTTCTGGCTCTGAAAAACTTCAGAATGACAAAACATTGTGGATTTTTGGGGCAACATCTGCAGGATATTTTTTGGACTGTAAGAATTTGTTACTTCATGTCTGGTAGTGATTTCTTTCCACAACTGATGGAAATTGTGATTCCTGTTTGCAGAGTGCCCTCCTGGCCAGGCAGGATTGGGATTTGGACACATCTTCTGCTCTTTTTGTTTTGTTTTATCCAATCCTTGGCAGGGCAGGACATGAGGAAGGGCAGCAAGGAGGCCTAAATTCCATTAAAAGCTGTATTTCTCCTGAGGAGAGGGCCAGAGAGCATGAAGTGACCCCTGAAGTGCTGAAATGGGAGATAAATAGGAATAGGAAAAGAGTCTGTGGTTTGAAACCCCACTGAAGGACTCACACAGGGAATCACTGCTGCTGTTATCAAAAGGCTGCAAACTTTTCTATGTTTAATCCAGGCTGAAGGAGAATCCCCACAGTTCCATAATCACCCACAGCCATTTAGTCAGTTCTTTCATGAAATAAACCTGCAGTTCTGTAGTTCTTCTGTGGAAGGATTTATTAAAAATCCTTTCCCAAAATCCAGTGGAATGCACCCTAAAATTCCTGCAAATAATTCTGGCTTTTCTTGGCACTCAGGGTCGTCCCATGACACTGGACCATTGCCTCCATCACTTCATCTCCTCAGAGTCTGTCAAGGATGTTGTGTGTGACAACTGCACCAAAGTAGGTCCCTTTGACTCCTGTCACCTTAATTCCTGTCACCTCCCTGCTCAGTTTTGAGCCTGCTGACACAATCCTGGCTTCACTTTCCACCTCCTTTTTCTTCAGGACTTGGGGAAAGCCTCTGGGGTTTCAGAAATTTAACAAGGAGTTCTTGCCTCATGAAGAATTAGAGGTTTATTACTTACTACTGCTGCTACAAAAATCTACAAATATTTTATTCTGTAGTTGCCAGGTATCACCAGGGATATCTTTTTTGCTCTAGTATTGTTTAAAAATCAACAGAAGAGGCAAATGAGTGCAGTTCTGAGTGAATGGAGTTCTCTAAATGCTCATTTCTGCTTGATTTTGGTTTAGAATTTTGACCCTTTCGGAATTCTGAAGAGCATTCCTAGGTGTGATTAATGCACTGAGCATAAACCAGACAATAAATTCCTCCTGTCTGCACGTGCCTTCATTTTTTTCCCCTTTTCATTCCAGATCCAGGCAGCAGGAATTCTGAATGGACAGAGCATAGAAAACCAGAGAACAACATTTGTTAAGCAATTAAAGTTAGGAAAGGTGAGGCAAAAAAACCCTTCCAAATCTTCTAAATCCTGTCACAGTAACTTCCCTCTTGGAGCTGGTTGTGCCCATTTCTTGCTGTCAGACCACAAATGTTTTATTTTTCAAAGTAAACTCACCTGGCAAATATCTGTTGGCATTGAGGCTTCAACTCAGCAAAACATCAAACATTAAACATTAACAGGATGTGAATATTCTCCTGTTATTTAGCAAAACACATTTAAATGTGAGTTTGGCTCAGTGTCATTTCTTAGATTTTACATTAATTCTTCAGTGAGCAAATTGATTTATATTTACAGGGTTTGTAGCATCTTTAGCAATTCCTCATTTCATTAATTTAAATATTCTGAATACAGCTGGTGAGTAAACATCAGGTGTGAATTCTAAGAGAAAACTCTTTTTTTTTTTGCTCTGTAATCAGTCCTGTCATGCAGAGGCCAGCAGGGCACTAGTGGGTAATTAGGAACCTCAGGTGCCAATAATAATAATAATTATTATAATAATTATGTACTTGCCTCAGGTGCCAATAATAATAATAATAATAATAATAATAATTATTATAATAATTATGTACTTCTTGCTACAGCAATGGTTTTGAAATTCAGCTCTTTATAACACTTAATATTTTTGGTTTTCCCCTCTGCAAAACCATTAATTTTTGGGGATTAGGAGATATCAGGAATCTCACAAGAATTATTGTCACACTTTAGGGACACTGTTGCCACTAAGCTTACACAGAGATAAGGGAAATGCATTTCCTTATTCCCTGGACTTACCAGCTGTTTCTTTCCATGAAAAATGTGGATTTTCCTTTCCTGAAGCTGCCCCAGTGTTTGTGCATCCACCTGCAAAGGCTGAGCTGGTCAAACCAAGGCACTCCCCTGAAGAGACACGAACACGTGCAGTTCAACGAGTTCCTGGTCATGGACATCTACAAATACCGGGTTCCTGGTCCCAAATCCTGCCAGGAGCAGCTCAGCCAGAAAAACTCTGAGGAGACAACCCCTGGAATAAAGGATGGGAGAGCAGGGAAGCCTTCAGGTACCTCTTTTGCCAATAAAATGGTTCAGCTCATTCTGCATGTCAGGGATCAAAAGTTCTCTGCAGGATCAAGCCATGAGCAGCATTTTGATGTGAGGCTCTGCAAAGAGGACAGAAATCCCTTTGCCATTCTCAAATTTACAGTTCAGTTTGGATAATTTCATTTTGATCGTACTAAATATATATACTTAAAAAAAAATGTCCAAAGAGGTGTGGAACCTGGGATATCCCAGAGTTTTTCTTGTTAGGGATCTCTTGCAAGGCTTCAGGACAAGCAGAGAGGGAATGCTGGGAATGGTGGATTCTTCAAAAAGAGCTGGAAAATGCAGCTATAGGAGATCTGTCCTTAGGCCCCTCAATATTCCTTTAGCTGGGATTTTGGATACATGCGTATTTCCATATTTGTAATGTAAAACGAATTTGAATAAAATATCCATTTCTGATATGAAAATCAATAAAATACCTTCATATCCCATGATGAGGAGCAGGGATGTTGATCTTAGCAACAGCATTCCAATTAAATCCCTGAATTTCTCCTTCCTCTGGCAGATGCAGAACAACCAGCTGGTACCAAACCTCTCTTCATGAATGGTGCCTCCTCTTCCTCCTCCTCCTCTCCCTCATTTTTAATGTCCCCAGGAACTTTCCCACTTGCTGCATTCCCTGAGTGCAGGTAAGTTAGAGATTTGTACCCTCTCTCTTCATTTCTTTCCTTCAAATTGTCTCCCTTGCTTCTGTCCTTGTCCTGAGGCTGCCCAGTCACAGAATGTGATCTTTGTCCCAGCTCCTGTGATTTTAGTCCTGGGAAAGGGAGTAGGGCAAGTTACAAGCAAAACTCAAAGTCTTCCTTTGGTTCATGGTGCTCCTGAACAGCCATAACCTCATTGCTGCTGGTTTCCCCTAGCTCTTATTTTCCTTCATTTTCAAGTGGTTGTAAGAAATCCATAGTTTTTTTTTTCTCAGATGTTTTTGATTTCAGTTGCACCTGCCATGATTCCACTTGATAAATCACCCCTGGGGCTTCTGCTGATAATCCTTTTCCATAGAATTCCAGAATGGTTTAGGTTAATAGGGGACTTCAGTGCAGCCCTCTTCCCATGGGCAGGGAGGGACACCTTAACTTAGGGACCATCCAGTGCAGCCCTCTTCCCATGGGCAGGGACACCTTCCACTATCCCAGGTCACTCCAAACCCCATCCAGCCTGTCCTTGAGTACTTCCAGGGATGGAGCAGCAGCTTTGAATCCCATAATCCCAGAATGGTTTGGGTTGAAAGGAGACTTGGAGATGCCATGGGCAGGGACACCTTCCACTACCCCAGTTGCTCCAAACCCCATCCAGCCTGGCCTTAGACACTTCCAGGGACGGAACAACAGGAAAAAGCAGTTTGGATCACAGAATGGTTTGGGTTGGAAGGGAGCTTGGAGATCATCCCATCCCACCACTTCCCATGGGCGGCAGGGACACCTCCCACCAGACCAGGCGCGGAGCAGCCACGCAGGGAGCCACGTCCTTGCTGCAGGCAGGAATTGTGGCTGCTCTGCTCTGCTGTGTGTGTGGCCAGGCTGACCCGTGTCCCCACAGGGCCCCGCTGTACCTGTACCGCCTGATGGCCGTGGTGGTGCACCACGGGGACATGCACTCGGGACACTTCGTCACCTTCCGGCGCGCGCCGGGCGCCCGCGGCAGCCAGTGGCTCTGGATCTCGGACGAGTCCGTGCGCAGGGCCAGCCTGCACGAGGTGCTGGCTGCCAGCGCCTACCTGCTGTTCTACGAGCGCGTGCACGGCCGGGCCCAGCCCCAGAGCCCGGCCCAGAGCTGAGCCGGCGGTGCTGGGATGGTCCCAGCCCTCGGGGTCATCCCAGCCCTCGGGGTCATCCCAGTCCTTGGGGTCATCCCAGCCCCTGGGACCATCCCAGTCCTTGGGGTCATCCCAGCCCCTGGAACCATCCCAGCCCTTGGGGTCATCCTCATCCCAGCCCTTGAGACCGTCCCAGCCCTCAAGATGGTCTCAGCCCCTGGGATGGTCCCAGCCCTTGGGGTCATCCTCATCCCAGCCCTTGGGACTGTCCCAGCCCCTGGGATGGCCCCAGCCCTCGGGATGGCCCCAGCCCTTGGGATGGTTCCCTCCCCTGGAATGGTTCCTTCTCCCAGGATGGCCCCAGCCCCTGGGATGGCCCCAGCCCTCGGGATGGTCTCAGCCCCTGGGATGGTTCCCTCTCCTGGAATGGTTCCCTCTCCCGGGATGGTCCCAACCCCTGAGATGATCCCAGCCCCTGGGATGGTTCCAGCCCTTGGGATGGTCCCAGCCCCTGGGATGGTTCCCTCTCCCGGGATGATCCCAGCCCCTGGGATGGTCCCAGCCCCTGGGATGGTTCCAGCCCTTGGGATGGTTCCAGCCCCTGGGATGGCCTCAGCCCTCGATGGAGCCTCTCCATTATGCAAACCTCCCCCTCTCCAGGCTCCCTTCCCTGTGGGAGCAGCTGGGAGTTGTGGTTTGTGCCCAAATCCTGCTGTTCTGGCACCGTGCAGCCCCGGGTGTGTGTTGAGAAGTGTTTTTCTGCCTGTCCCAAGGCTCTGTTCCATGTCCTGACACAGCACTTTTCCCAGGGAGATGCTTTATCCCACACATTTCACTTCCCAAGGGGGAGCCCTGGAAAGGGTTATGTCACACTGCTGTTGAAGAGCCCTTCCCCATCCCAATCCCTCCCCTGGCACCTCTCCATGATCCACCAGCCCCTCCAGGTTCCCTTCCCTGTGGCAATGGCTGGGAATTGTGTTTTGTACCAAAATTCCCAGAGCTGTTCCAGCCCCAAGCGTGTGTTGAGCAGCCTTTGTCTGTCAGGCAGGGATTTTATCCCAAGGCTCTATTCCCAGTGTTTCCCAGTGGGGAGCCCTGGGAGGGGGTGATGGGAAGCTGCTGTTGGCAATGATTTAAGACACAAAGTGCCTTGAGCTTCCCTGAACAGCTGCACTGCCACTGGCCCAGCCCTCTGCATGCCCACTGTGTCCTGGGAATGCCTCACACCCACGGGATGAACCCATGGAATCCCATTTCTCCTGACCCATCAAGTCAAGGCATCTCCACAAACTGCCCCCATCCAAAAGATTTCCCTGTTCACACAATTTTCCTCCTACTTTACTTCTTTATATTATAAAATCCTTCTCCTGATTTAAATTGCTTTATCCAGGAGATAATTTTGTATCTATTAAGAGCTGAAACCTTAATTTATTGCTCCATACCTTTGGAATCTAGCTGGAATTAGCACATGGAAGTGTTTGCTAGTGCTCAGTGTTGTCATTTCCTTCAGCACTGTTGGATCCAGTTGTTTTGTAGCATCAACTACAACTTTTAATGCTGTGATTTTCAAGCTGCTGTAACTGTTCTAGACTTGCCCTTCCCATTTTATTGCTGGAATCTGCTATTCCCAGCACTGGGATCCACGCTCCTGGCTTGCAGGTGAGCTGTAGAGCAGCCCCCGGCCTTGTTAAATGGAAAATAAATAAGAGGGCCAGGACTGGTGGGCACTTACTGGTCTCATGAAGAAATCTGGGAATCCTGCATCAGCTCCAGGCTGCCCTGTAAATAGAAATAAGGGGAATTCTGCTGCTCTGGATTGGTTGATGTGCAAAAAAAAAAAAAAAAAAAAAAAAAAAAATTTAAAAGTCCCAAAGCACAGAGGGAAAAGCAGCAAAAATCCTCTTTTAAAAACCTGCTTTTAAGTGACCAGGAATAAAACATGTAGGTTGTTTTTAGCTCTTTTCTGTCCTTGTAAGCTTGGAGGAGAAAAAAATCCCTCATCAGACAAGCTTTTTTCAGTGTGAAGTTTTCAAATAACAACTGTCTTAAGTAGTTTTTTTAGGGCAACTTTGTACCTCATGAATTCATAGTGCTGCCCAAAGCTCGGAGGTGTTCACACTTCCTCAGGAGAGGCTCCAAACCAGCCAAAGCAGGAGTGGTAAAATGGGTGGATATGCAAAATTATTTACACAACTCATCATTCCAGAGTCTGGAGCACAATTCCTGGCCCAGGTAATGCTCATGGTACAGAAATATTGATAAATCCACTGCTGGACTGGGACCTGGGTCCTGGCTGTGCTGCACGAGCAGTAGCTTGGTTTTAATCTGTTTGAATTTACAGAAAACCAAGAAAACAAAGAAAAAAAAAAACCTTGAAGGATACAAAATGCCAAAAATTTGCTCTGGCCATTGAAGGGAGAGCTGACAGCTGGAGGAGGAGCCAGCCCTCCCTACTGGGAGCCCTGTAAAACCATCACCCCAACATCTCCCTCCAGCAGATCTGCCCCTGCACCTCTGAACTGAAACCATTTCCAGTGCCAGCAGTGGCTGTCCTGCATTCTCCAGGCTCAATGCTCTGCTTGGGGCTTTTTCCTGGATTTGGGGGGTTTTTCCTGGATTTGGGGGTTCAGCTGAGCAGCCTCTTGGCTTAGTTGTGCTGGAGGAGGGGCCGAGGACACGCACAGTGTGCACTGAAATGTGGCAGCTGGGAGCAGCAGGTTTTTCTTTGCCAAGAGCTGTTTCCCTGGGCTGTGGATTGATTCTGGATCTCCCTCAAGGGCTATCAGGGGAAGGGTTGAGCCTTTTTTCTGGCTTTGCTTGGGGAGGAGTGGATGGGCTTGGCTTAACCCTCAGCTGAGGAAGGGAGCAAAGCCCAGCACCTCAGTCCTGGCCCTGAGCTGTGCCAGATCCTGCCTGTCCCCTGTGAGCTGTGCAGGGCTTTGGGAGCTCATCCTCCCCTCTGGAGGTCACTGGGATCTGTTTTCCAGCCAACCACACCCATGGAGATCACTGGAATTTGTGCAGGTGTTTGGGAACCAACCCTCCCATCTGCAGGTCCCAGGGCTCTGAGTTTGCCAGCCCAGCCTCTCTTTGGAGGTCACTGGGATCTGTCTTTCCAGAGGTCACAGAGCTCTGTGTTTTCCAGCCAAATCTCCCCTCTGGAAGTCACTGGGATCTGTTTTCCAGCCAAGTCTCCCCTCTGGAGGTCACTGGAATCTGTTTTCCAGCCAAGTCTCCCCTCTGGAGGTCACTGGGATCTGTTTTCCAGCCAAACCTCCCCTCTGGCAGGGCTCTGTGCAGCCACAAGGCTCCAACGCTGATACTCGTCCCTCCCAAGCTGCCATGGTGGAGAAGATGTTAATAAATTGTAAAGAATTAAGAGCTCCAAGATGACATTTCTGTGTTTGGATTATTCTTGTCTTATTTTGTGTGTTAATTTAAAAATGTCTGTTCCAGTCCAAGCACTGCACTGCTGTTTGAAGTTGCTTTTTTTCCACTTCAGGGTATTTTTGTAACTGTACAGTAGCAATAAAAGAACAAACTTGGTAGAAAAATCAGTGTGGGAATGTCTTGAAACAAACACCAAGCTGGGAGCCAAAGGGGTTGAAACAACACTCCACAAGCCCTGGATAAGAAGGATTTTCAAGCTCCACAGAGCATCTCAGAGTGGCAGAAGGTGGGAAGTAACAATTCCCAATTCTCTGCACAGGCCTTAATTCCACAGGAATAATGGACCCACCACTGAAGGCCAGAGCCCAGCACTAATTCCAGTGGCTGCAGCCAGGTTACACAGGATTTGGTTCCCATTCTCACCCAGAATTTATAATTCCTTGATGGTTTAAGATCTCTTGGGGACAGAATTCCCTCATTTTCAGCAGGATTCCCTGCGGGTGTGGGAGGTGGTGGCTTTCAGGCAGTCAGGAGGGGATCCCTAGGGATAATTATTTAGGGAAATACACTCTCAGAGTGACAGCCTTCCAGTGGAGATGGGACAACCCAGTTCTTCCCCACAAGGGCATTTTTTGCTGCCTGGTTTTTGTACAAAGTGCCTGAGGGAGGAAAAAACCTTGTGCTTCCTCCTGCAAGAGCAGCCTCCCTCAGGAGCAGAGCAATTCAAGCAGACAGGAGTCAAACACTCATCCAGCCACACCCTGTCCTCACACCTCAGCACTCCCCTTCTCCATCTCAGGCTCATTTTGCTTTATTTTAATTTAAAAAAAACAAACCCAAGCAAACCAGAGCTCTTTGACAGAAAGTGCCACCTGCAGAATATCAGCTTTACACGATCATCACAGCTTGTGGCTCACAGTGTTGATAAACTGCTGCCTCCAGGCTATGGAGCATTTCCATCTTCTTGGAACACTGCTTAGATAAAGATCAGCTGAGAACAAACTTCTTCCCCAGCAAAACAAGAGGAAGAACCAGCAAAAACAAGGATCAGCAGGACCGGAGCAACATTTCCCAGATGTTAAACTGAGATCAGCGGTCACAGGCTCCAGCAGCAAAATCACCAAATTTTGTCCAGGAGGAACTAAATTCCCTTCCCAGGGCCCAGAGGCGGCACATTTCCCCGCGTGGCCGCGGGCAGGACGTTCCTGAAGGTGAGGTTGACCCTGGGGGCCAGCACCCCCCGGCGCGGGGGCAGGCTGTGGTGCCAGTGCACGTTGCTGGGGTGCTCCATGAGCAGCAGGCTGCCGTGGGCCAGGGCCACGCTGATCCTGCCCGCGCCCCGGCGGCGGAACACGAAATCCCGGCAGGCTCCGAAGGACACCGAGGCGATGGGGCTGCGGGGAACCAGCTCCTTCTCGTCGTCCCGGTGCTCCCCGATGTGGTCCAGGCCGTCTTTGTACCTGGCGGTGGAGTCCGCGCTTGGTATTCGTTGCGTTTTCAATGTTGGTTTCATTGTTGTTAATTTAATATTATTAATTTAATGTTATTAATTTAATATGATTAATTATTAATTTAATATTAATTCAATATTAGCTGTGTTTTTATATTATTGTGTAATTATGTATAATATATATACTCGATAATACAGATAATAATATAATATATATAATGTATATTTTATATAAATATTATTGTGTAATTATGTATAATATATATACTCGATAATATAGATAAATATATGTTATATAGTCACACATTATTAATATATATTAATTTTATATTTAATTATATAAAATAGATAAATACATTACATATTATTGAATTAATTTTTACTAGTATATAGATTATTTACTAGTATATAGATATTTTATATATAATTAATTTAATAATTTGATTGTTACATTATTAAATTAATGACTATAAAGATAATAAATTAATTAATTTAATAATAACTAGCTCTGTTAATTAACTCTGTTAATTCCCACCTGTCAGATTAAGCCTTTTTCTGACCCAGAGTTGGGGCAACTGAGAGGCATTTTAAAAACTTTTATTCCATTTTCAGTCTCATGTGAAGGGTGAGACAACACAGGTGTTATAATTCACACCATCACAATCAGAAGTTAATTATCTCCTAATTACATTCTAAGTGTTTATTGGCCTATCAGCTTTTGTCACACCTTGCTGTAAATGCCTGAAAACCAATTATGTAAAATTACCCCTAGTGGGTCCCACTACAATGCATCTTTCACTGTGCTGTTTCTCCAAAGTATTCAGTCTTATTTGCAAGCCTTTAAAACTTGTTTCAGCTCCATTTCTCTCTCACCAATGTCTGTCCTGTTCCATGGCATTTCTAAGTAAACATTTCTTTCAACAGATTTCATTTATTACACACAGATACACACTATGTGTGCCTTCTGTCAAGCTGTGAGAATTCTCCATTTCCCACACCTACCATCAATTACTTACCAAAATAATAATTATTTCCCAATCAAATCAAACCAAACAACTCAAATGCTGCACAAGTGTGAAGAATTTTTTAATTAAGATGGGACCTCTGAATTATTTTTAATGATGCAGTTTATTTTTCTTATATTTTATGTAAGCAGAAGAGTTCAGCTCACATTTTTATAGTTCAGAAAGCTACAAAACTTCTAGTTATAAGGCTTAAGGATTTATTGATTAATAAAACACTGCTATCAAAGATATTTATATTTTTAACTTCAAATATTTTTTCCTATAGACTTAAGCTACAGTGTAAGCTTTCTTAGTTAATTATGAGACACAAACTTATAGTGCTGCATTCTAAACTTCTTGTTTATCTTTCTAACTACTTTTATATTTTCTATAGTTTTAAATACCTAGTTTACACTTAGTCTTACCTAGTTTACCCTTAGTTTACACTTAGCTTCACCTAGTTTAAACCTAGTTTAAACCTAGTTTACACTTAGTTTACACTTAGTTTACACTTAGTTTACACTTAGTTTACACTTAGTTTACACTTAGTTTACACTTAGTTTCACCTAGTTTACACTTAGTTTACACTTAGTTTCACCTAGTTGACCCTTAGTGTCTCTGCTTTAAACCACAAATCCACATTCTTCCTCCTAGCACTTAACTTTGGAAGCCTTTCCTAAGGTCTTAAATCCCGTGTTTAATTCTGAGCTTTAGCTCACAGCCCTAAAGTCCTGAGAGCTGCCTGCATTTCAGATTCCAACATATAAATTGGGGTTTTTTTCCTTTCATTTGAAGGAAAAGCTGCTGGCTGGGAAGGGGCTGTACCTGTTGATGAGGACGAAGTTGAAGGAGTGTCCCGTCTCCGAGGTGACGCGCTCCCGGATCCGCGTCAGCACCGGGATCCAGGGCTTGGGGTGGAACGTGACCCCTGAGTAGGTGTAGGACAAGCCAGGGTCTCCGTAGGTCACCTTCTTCCTGGGAATCTTGTGCCACTTGCCAAACACCTGCAGCTTTGTCGCGTCATCTGCGGGGAAGGAGCAAACCCGGGTTCGTATTCGTGGAAAAACCGCGTGTTTTGTGATTGGCTTTTGGCAATATTAAAATGAATGTTGTATGTGCTGTGCTAGAAAGTTATGCTGTATTAACACTTTAATAGTATGGGAAATGTAGTTTCATAGCTGAAAGGTAATTTTTGTTGTTAAAATAGGAACTATGTATGTGGAATGTTTTCTTTTTAGAAAGGAATGAGGTGCTCGGCTGCAGGACACCTAAATCTTTCAGAGGAAGAGAATTGATCTTTTTTTATCAGGAATTTATCTGTTTTATCAGGAGAAACAAACTTGTTCCCGCCTGGTTCAATCAAAAAGATGCTGCTAGGATTAAGAGAAGAAGTTGATGATGAACAGACAAAATCCTTTATTTGAATGGAATTTATGCATCATGTATGAGATGTATGAATATGTTACAGGCTATCATTTTTAAGGGTTAATCCTCTGTTAATGGGTGTTCTTTTTTGGGCTTGTGTTGCCCAGAAAAAGGTACCTGGACATCTGTAACTGTTTGTTTTTATTGTCTGTACTGTCCTAATCTCAACTGTTCAAATTTTATTACTCTAATTATATTACTATTGTTATAACCATTTTATTACGATTAAACTTTGAAAAATTTTACAAACAAATGATTGGCGTTTTTCACAGTATTGTGAAAAGTATTTCACAGTATTGTGACTGCAGAGTCCAATATTCTCCTGGATCTGCAGCTCCTGGCAATGTCCAACAGGAATGAGGGTGCTCGCGTCAACCCAAAAGCTGCCCTCCCTGTTCCCAGGGTTTGTGTCCCTCTTGTCCTCCCCCTCCAAGGGGATGAGCAGCACCCCGATCACATCCCTCACACGCTGCATCTCCAACGAATTCCACCACCGCTCCAGGATTATCCCTTAACAAACACTTCCAGCTCAGCAAAGCCTCCCAGGGCAGGAATATACCTTCGAAATACTCCACCTCCTTCTCCAGCTCCTGGAAGATCTCGTCCGCCTCGGCCTTGTCGAAGAGGATGCGGTAATCACAGCGGAGCCCCTCGGCGCGGATCTTCCGCGGCGGCGGCCGCTCCGGGCCGGCCTTCTCCAGCCGCGGCCTCTTCCCGCCGCCATCGCCCGGCTGCCCGCGGGGCAGTTTAACCACGAACCTGTCCATGGGCGAACCCGGCACCGGGAGCGCCGCCCGGGAGGAACGGGAGCCGCGATCCCGCGGGAAACGGGAGCACGCAAAGCCACGCCCCCTCTCCCGCTGGCCACGCCCCCCGGCGCACGCGCGCGGTTTTGGCGCCAAATCCGAGTCCCGCCCGTTCCGCGCCGCTGCCGCCCCTCACTCAGCCCCGGCCCGCCGCAGCCATGATCGGGCAGAGGACGCTGCACTCCTTCTTCAGCCCCGCGCCGGCCAAGAAGCGCCCCCGCTCCCCGGAGCCGGGCGGCGATTCTGAGGTAGCGATCGGGGGGCTGAGGGAGCCCGCGGCTCCGGAGGAGGGGAGAGGGGAGGGAGGAGAGGGGTCTGCCGGCGGCACGGGCCTGCCCGGCTCTGTGTGTGTGGGAGGGGGCCTGGGGGCGCTGCCGGCCTTTTCTGAGGGGAGTTGTAGGGGGGGGAACACAATTTCCAAACTCCCGCGCGGCTCCACGCGTGGCTGAGCTGCCAATCAAGCGGCCACGCTCCGCTGCCGCCCAATGAGCGCTGATCCCCTCCGTGACGTCACTGTTGCTAGGTGAAAACCTCCCCTCCATCCGCGGCGAGCCAATGAGGAAAAGCGAGCGTTTTTCCCGCTGACCAATAGCGAGCGGGCGTTTGTGCTCGCCGCCGTGGGCGGCCAATGGGGGCGCGCTTTGTGTTTTGCCGCGGAACAACCGCGTGCGGCGGGGCCGCCCCTTGGGCGGGACCTTGCGCAGCCATGGCCGGACCTTGCGCAGGCATGGCCGCGCGTTGTTTATCCACGGCCGGTGCCGCGGTGCTGCAGCGCCCCAGGCTGCGCTCCCGCCTCGGGCTGCTCCCCCGCTCCGGGCTGCATTCCCGCTCCGCGCTGCTCCCCCGCCCCAGGCTGCGCCCGCTGCCCTCCCGCACCCTCCGCAGCCACCCCCCTGCCCGCTGCTTCCAGGCGAGCGCCGCCAAGAAGGCGAAGGAAGCCGGCGAGAAAGCGCTGAGCGCGGAGCAGCAGGAGCGCATCCGCCGGAACAAGGAGGCGGCGCGGCAGCTGCTGGCCGAGCGGAACGTGCCCCCGGGCTTCGGCGACAGCTGGCGGCGGCAGCTGGCCGGGGAGTTCTCCAAGCCCTACTTCGTGGAGGTGAGTGAGCAGCATGCCCCGGTCCCCCCGCCCCGAGTCCTCGCTGAGCCCTCGCTGAGTCCCCGCTGCCCCCGCAGCTGATGGCGTTCGTGGCCGAGGAGAGGAAGCGCTACACGGTGTATCCGCCCCCCGAGCAGGTCTTCACCTGGACGCAGACGTGCGACATCTGGGATGTGAGTAGAGTGTGTGGTGTGGGGGTCTCTGAGCTGCTCCCGGGAGTCTGAAACCCTGAAGGTGCGGGGTGGGTGCACAGACACGTTCCTTTAGTGTGTGGTCCCTTAAACTTGGATCCCACGGGGTGTGGATGCTGTTGTTTGGTTCACTTAACTCATAAATCCAGCCTTCCCTTTCATGTCTGATAACAAACTGTGATTTTATTCTTTTATTGCCCTCACAAGCCACAGAACTTCCTCTGATCCTTTTGATCTTTTTTCTGGTGTTAACAGCTTAACCGAGTTCATGATTTTTTTGGTCTTGTACATCTCTTGTTCTTTTAATTGATCAGTAAAGATCAATTAAAAGAACAAGAGATACAAAGGACTGTTATTAAAAGAAAATAAGACAGCACAAGGTAATGTTATTTCCAATAAAACCTGTCAAAAATATCACAGCAAGTGTGGCATAAAGCTGAAATGGGATGAAATTGACTTGGAAAATGACAAGGTGGTTTTTTGTGACTGTGAAAATGTTTGTCTTCTACTCTCAAATTGTATTAGTTAAATTCATTATTTTGGCAGCAAAGCCATAGGGATAGTAATCCTTAATGTTAGGTGGGCTCTGTGCTCTTTAGCAATGAGATATCTGGGATTTAACTTCAGTTTCTTGGAGGGGTTGGTTTGTGGCATTTTTTTGTCTCTATTTTAGGACTAAGATCATTTATAAGCCTTTTTTCCCTCACTCGGGGGAATAATAGTGATTACAAATCAGTGCTAACCAAGGTCTGCTTTCAGGTAAAGGTTGTTATTTTGGGACAAGATCCATACCATGGACCTAAGCAAGCTCACGGGCTCTGTTTCAGTGTCCAGAAACCTGTTCCACCTCCCCCCAGGTAAGAAAATTTGCAAAATCCCTTTTGTTCCTTAATTATTTGCAGTTCTGTGGTGCTCAGGGCTGGGAAAACTGATGTGAAGTGGTTTGCAACTACTTAAATTTGAGTTGTGCATCGCCTGGAAGGATAATTCTGTGCAGTTTGGGTGATACTCTGGATGTAAATTTTAATTTCCAGTCTCATTAAAGCTGCCAGGCAGACACAGAGTCCCTGCTGCCCCGCCTCTGCAAATGGCTTTATTATCTTAAATAATGAGATTAAAATCAATGCTTTTCTTGCCTGCTTCGAGCAATAAGTGGTGCTGCTTGCTCTTGTATTAAAAACCTTCTGCTGGTTTGGTTTGCAGCTTGGAGAATATTTACAAGGAGCTCTCTGAGGACATTGAGGGCTTCACCCACCCTGGCCATGGGGACCTGACGGGCTGGGCCAAGCAAGGTGAGCTCAGAGACACTCAGTGATGTGCCCCCCGTGGAGCAGGAAAGAATCTGATCTAAAAACCAGCCCCGTGGTTGGAAATAATCCACCTGTAGGAGAGAAAATCACTTCTGAGCGCCTTAAAATGAAAATCTGCTTCAACAGCGAAAAAAGAAGTGTGAATCCCAGAATGGTTTGGGTTGGAAAGGAGCTTAAAGCTTATCCAAGGGACACCTTCCACTATCCCAGGTTGCTCAGAGCTCCATCCAGGAGCAGTCCCGGGCTGGATTAACCCTTGTTTCACCCTCTGGATGTGCTTTGTTTGCCAGGGGTGCTCCTGCTCAACGCGGTGCTGACGGTTCGGGCTCACCAGGCCACGTCCCACAAGGAGAGGGGCTGGGAGCAGTTCACAGATGCTGTGGTGTCGTGGCTCAACAAGAACCTGCACGGGCTTGTCTTCATGCTCTGGGGAGCCTATGCCCAGAGGAAAGGCAGCTCCATCGACAGGGTACACCTCCTTCTCCTCAGCCATTCCTTCTCCGTGGTTTTTTCCCTCGTTCTGGTGGACACTAGAGGGCACTTCCCTTACAGAATTGGGAATTTTCCCTGCCTTGAACTCTGTCAGATTGAGTTCTGCTCCAGCTTAGCCTTTGCCAGAATTAAGCAAGAAAAGTGGAGCAAGTGTAAGCTCCTGTTGTCAGCAGTGTCTCGCAAGGACAGAGCTGTTTCTCCTAGCTGAGGGCTCATGAATCAATATGAAATCTGCTGGTGGCATGACAGCAATTGGGAAATGCCAGGGCATTTATGCCTTTGCTTAGTGGGACGGAAGTCTTGGTCCTTGTGGCTGGTTCTTTGGGTCTCAGGCTGGTGCAGGAGGGGGTGTAAGGGGAGATCACACCTGCCCTGGAGCAGGAGGAGCTGGAATGGGGGTAAATCACCTGCCCTGGGGCAGGAGGAGGAGAAATGGGGACACATCACCTGCCCTGGAGCAGGAGGAGCAGGAATGGGAACAAATCACCTGCCCTGGAGCAGGAGGAGGAAGAATGGGGGTAAATCACCTGTCCTGGAGCAGGAGGAGGAAGAATGGGGGTAAATCACACCTGTCCTGGGGCAGGAAGAGCAGGAATGGGGGTAAATCACCTGCCCTGGAGCAGGAATGGGGGTAAATCCCCTGCCCTGGGACAGGAGTTGGGGTAAATCACCTGCCCTGGAGCAAAAGGAGGAGGAATGGGGGTAAATCACCTGCCCTGGGACAGGAGTTGGGGTAAATCACCTGCCCTGGAGCAGGAGGAGGAGGAATGGGGGTAAATCACACCTGCCCTGGAGCAGGAATTGGAGTAAATCACCTGCTCTGGAGCAGGAACAGCCCAAACCCTCCAAATCTAACAAGTGGTTTCCTCTGCTGTCCCCAGAAGCGTCACCACGTCCTGCAGACGGTTCATCCCTCACCCCTCTCTGTCAACAGAGGGTTTTTTGGCTGCCGGCACTTCTCCAAGACTAATGAATTCCTCAAGAAGTCTGGGAAGAAGCCCATCGACTGGAAAGCACTCTGAGCTGGGGCTGAGGCTTGGGAGCAGCCCTGGGCCAGGGCTTGGGGCATTTCTGAGAAACTCCTGCTGACCTGAGAGTTGTTCTTTGGTTGTTGATAATGAACAAATGACCAAACTTTCAGAGGTGGTTACATTTTTGTTTTAAAATGTTTCTTTTTCGACAGCATGTTTGATGGACAGCTCTGCTGCTGGAACAGATCTTAGCCTGGTTTGAAGCAAAAAAAAAAGACCCCAACCACCAGAGTTCTGTATTAATTTGTGCTTGTTGTGGCAGTGGGAATTTATTTTCAGATTCTGGTGAAGGGATGTCAGTTCTTACGAGCTGCTCAGCTTTTGTGCATGCTCTGCTGCCTCCTTCCCAAAAAATCCAGTTTGCCTATTTAGGGGGGAATGGAGCAGTCTCCATGGGAGGAAAAGGCTTTTGGTTTTAGCTTTTTGCTACAGATTTATTACAAAAATGGCTTCTCAAGGCTGTAAAGAAAATACAGGGTCAGGAGTGTCACTTGGTGTATCCATGATCTCAAGATTTTGGGATAAATCCTCCCTTCAGCCACAGGGAGGCTGTGGCCAAGACCCTTGGTAACGCTTTTGAATTTTTTGTTGGCATTTAGACGGGAAAGTCAAAAGGTTTTAGGTTCTTCCTGGGTGTGGAATCACCTGGATGACAGGTGAGCTGTGCTGACCAAGGACCTGGGGGTACTTGATGATGGCAGCAGTAAAGGTTTGTTCATTGACACCTCTCAAATAAGGGACTGATAGTTGCAAATTACTTCAGGTCTTTTTAAGATCTTAAAAGAGGGAACTTTATGCTTTGCCACCTTGGGAGCAAATTAAAGTTTCCACTTACTGTTGGCAATAACTGTTAGTATTTCCAGGACGAAGAGGTGTTGACTTCATGCTCCTGGGTTTCCAGCCCATCTTTGACATTGTAATTCCTT